TTTATGAATGAAAGATAATTTATAATCAAAGCAATAGTTAGTTTGAATTGTAAAGGTAATTTGAGAAATTTTGGTCCTGCCATAACCTTTTTCAGATATTATAATAGCTATACAAACCAATAATCTTATACTGTAAAGATTATACAACATACCGATGGTACATTACTTGGACCAAATATTCCTCTTAATACTCCAACAGCACGTCCAACAATGACATCATCAGGGACACTCTCAAGCTTATTAGCTGCCTCTCCTGCCACCAAGGAGATTAGGACTGGTGCCTTGTAGAGGTTCCAGAACAGAAACAGTTCACCACGAGACTGAGTTGTACCGCTTACATGACCAAATAAATTAGTGTTAGGATTCCAGAAGATACGATCAAAGCACAGAACAACCTTGGAAGAAGAAAGACAAATGATGGAATATTGAATACTCATAATAATAATAATAATAATAATGGTTTATTACGAAATCCACAGGGTGGCTCTTCCTCCGTAAAAACTATACTACTCTACATTACACTAAGTAAAACAATATAGATTAAATACACATTCAATAGATAAAATATATATATAATAGAATATTAGTAATTAAATTAATTAAATGAGATAGGAACTAAGAAAGATATGCATTTGTAGTTTAAGTGTCCCTTGAAGTGGCAAGATGTTTTTTTAGTAGTCTGACAAAAGTTGCGAAATCTTTACACTGTCTTATGCTAGGAGGTAATTCATTAAATAAGTTTGCAGACATGTCTTGGAAAGTTCAATGTAATACTCATAATTAATAAGCATTATGTTAATGTGACGATACCTAGGGCCAAATGTCTTAATATGCTGTCATCGTACAAGAATTGCATTAATAGTACAAAATAGAAAGACACATTTCTGATCAATTTTGTACTTCCCACTGCTACAATCATGGACAACAAGGTTGAGAGGGTAGACTAACAGAATCCAGCAGGTATGTGTTCTTTTTAAAAACTTAACTTTGAGCGAAGGGGGCCTGGCCCGAGGAGGGAAGAATAAATAGAAAGTATAACATTCAGCGATTTTTAAAGATTCTAAACTCTTTTTGTCCAGAATTGTAGACACAAGATTCCTGCCAAGTCATTCAAGACAAATACATGTAGTCTCCATTAATCCATTTTTGTGTTAATTTTACAAAAAACACAAAATTGTATTATATGCAAAGAAAACATAACAGATTTTTTGTCCTAGAAAATGGTCTCACTCCACACTGACTGTTTGTAATCATTTTGTCCACAAATCAAAATTCCTACCTTATTCAAATTACCAAAACCCATTCGATGAACAGCAGCCATTTTCCATTCAGGCAGAGCTGGGTGAAACTGTACRGCAGGAGGGTGGGCCTTGAGTACTCCAAGGGGAAGTGTTATTAACACTGCATCACCTTTAAATGTTTGTGTTGTGTTCATTGATGATTTACTTGTTCCTTGAGTTACAACTTCAACACCTACAGATAAATAATCTTATCATCAGTAATCGATAACTTTAGTGGGTCTATTCAAGCAAGGTAAGGTGTTCAATAATAGTTTTCTTCATGGTTCCCTGCACCATCTTGAAAGGTAGCTGTCTATGCCTTTACATTGAAGCGAGACAACCGTTGAGCGTGCAGTGATAGATACCTGGAATAAGTGTGTGTAGGTGTGAAAGAAGGTTTCTATCATTGCTTTCAAGATGGCGCTTGTAACCGTGAAGAAGACTATTACAAACATCAATTCTGACATTTTGAGCATGAATACTAGGTCAAAGTAAGTTCATTTAAAGTTACTTAAAGGGCTAATTGGACGAAAATTTCGAATCATTAGAAAAGACTCAGAAATCAAATAGACCTACCCATATGGGTTTAATAATCATGAAGCAGCAGATTTCAAGCAAATATTCATGCAAATCCTTGATAATTTGGACGAAAAATGTTGGAGTAGATGACTTCATTTACTCCATCCTTTTGTTCTTCCATCTTTTGAATCAAAATTTATCTGATGTGGGATAATTCCAAAACATATATTTTATCTAAATTGTTTTTAATAGATATCAATGAGTCATATATTTGTATTGCTTGAAGTTTTGAAATAAGGCCATTTTCATGCAAGTAGCACTTTAAACTTTCTGTTCGTTTTGTCCCTACTAGTACAAGTATTGAGCATAAGATATACACAGTATAAAAATATTTCTTCTCTACATGCTTATAGCATTATTATGCTTGAATGTTAAATTTTCATAATTATCATAGAATATGTACATGTCATGGAATAATGTTATAACATCATATTCATACCTGATCTATTATATCTAACATGTCGTACTGATGTGTTTAGTCTGATATCAAGACACTCAGCCAATGCAGCCGGCAAGCAAGAATAACCATTTCGTACTGTCATGTGACTACCGCTGAACTCAAAGTCATCGTCCTGGTCCCAGTGCTTTAGTGAAAGGGCAGTSAGAGGGGTTGCATTTGCAAATTCCAGGTTAGCGAAATGCCAGTCTAGTATTTGACGATCCCTTGATGATAAGTACACATCGCTGGAAAACATGGAAACTTCATTCAGTCTATTGTTCATTAAACACAACAGATGTTT